GCTGACAGCAGTCGTCCTGATACTGTTCATGTACTGAAGTATGCTATACCATTGAGAGGATTACTGGAGCCAATGAAAATCAAAATTAACAGATCATTAAAGGAATTATTAGGTATTTTATGATATTATATCAATAACAATAATTATTTTGCCTATAGCTTATTCTGTTGGTACTAAGGATGGTCCTAATCCACAAAATGATATCAAGAAGCACCTGAATGATCTGAAACATTTCCTTTCAACTTCAGAAGCAATGTTTTGTGACAAAGCTAATGGTTGTAAGGAGGAACGAGTTATTAATACTTCTCAGTATAATGAGTTATTTGACAGGATGAATCGCCAGTCTTTATCAGAAAGAGTAGACCTTTTTATTAGAAAAATTGCATTTTTGCTTGAACTTTGTCCAGATCAATTTAGTAAATTTCTGTCAATACTGAATATCCAGGAAGACATTGCTCTTTCTACATTAGCTGGCAGGATTGCTGCTTCATGTAAGTTGTCAATCAATTTAAGTAAACTATTTATTTTATTCCATGCAGTAGAAAGAAGACAATGACTGTAGGAGCAGAGACATTGAACAATTCTTCTTGATAATAATGCACTTTTTATTTACTTGTATAATGTGTGTGCTTAAATGAAGTTTAATTTTTAAACAAGGCAATAATTAATAGAACAATTTGAATTTGTATTTCTACTTAGGTGCTTTAAATATCCTAGTACTGGTGTAAACTCTTTGTTGCACTCCTAAGTGGTACTGGAAGAATATACATCTATACCTACTGTTGTTTATATATAATTCTTAAAAGTAGAGCACCTACAGAATAGGCAGCTATATCATTGCAATGGATGGCCTCGGAATATTTAGCAGTTATTACCACGCCTCCATTAGTTACACTTCTCTCCAAGAGAATATTGGGTCGTTACTAAAATCATATGCTAAAATGCGGAACTTGCGGAACACTACGAAGAATGCGGAACGAGTGATACGGAACGTACACAGACGTATGCGGAGCGAACGTGTAGCGTTCTGCAGAGTGTCTAGAATGCGGAACAGAACCATAGACTATCATAAACTAGATATAATACAAAACAAAGGGGCTCAGCCTCGTAGATTTAGTAGCTTCTAGAAAAGCAATATTATTTAGAGCAAAATAATAAATAATCGAATTTAAAGCTATCAAAAAGTATAGCTAACTATGGCAATAAGATTTGGAATCTA